CGAGCGAGTAAGTAGCTAGAGGGCGCCCTTGAAATATACAAGCAATACAGATGAATCCAAACCACGGGCGCATGGTGGGAGTTGAGAGGAATTTTGGAAGCTAGGATGTGGAATAGCCACATAAGGATCGCGAATGCCAAATCAACAGGGACACGCACTTACTAGACTTTCAAATGATGATGGCGAGGTGATCCGTCAAGGGGGATTCGCCGATGGTGGCCTCTGAAAGGCAACGAAGCGTAGGATACGATGAAGGCGTGCCCAAGTAGAATCTGAGAGCGTAACAAAGAGAGAGTCCTGGGAATTCCAATTATTGGGGAAGAACTGGGATTGAGTAAGAAGGACCACCAGATGAGTGAGGTCTGAGGAAGGACAAGAGAGTGAATGGAGAAAGACACATTGTCCTGTGTTATGATGGTTGATATTTACTCTCCTTTGTTTCCTCTGTTACTGTAGTTGCTGAAGAGGATGAGGCGGCATTGAATTTTGATGACATGTGAGAGCATCATCATTCATAAGTAAGTGATTGTCATCCCACTCTCCCTACATGAGAGAAGCTTCTTGACATATCTATACAGAAAAATCACAAACAAGAATGCATAGCCCTATTAGTGGAGCTGAAAATGCATTTCTCATGTATTTATCCTGTCATGGCCATAAGAGTGACATGCAGTAGTGTATCACTGTAAAATGAAGTGTGATGCGGTATTGCTTTTGATAAGACATTACATTGAGTTCCCCCAGGTAAAGGAAGATGGATAATGAAAACATATTCTTCAAATACGGCTATTTGCCGACGAAATCACAAATGCCGTTGCCATTTCATGCAGAATCCCAGAAAGAGGTAGGATTTACAATGGATGGCTGGGAAACCCAAGAAGGAAAATGTTGAACTTTCCAGGGAATACGGCAGCCATCCCAAACATTATTAGGACTCAAGGAATAATCATTTTCCAGCTCAAACCATCCATGGATCTCTCTCGGGCCTGTGCATGGTCTGTGGATTTATAAAAGTTGGCGAGGAGTTTGTCGATGAGTGGGCGGATAATCCATTATCCGAGCCCCTGAGCTCTGGAGTAGGAGCTTGAGAATGGGGGGGTTCAATATCTTCAGACTAACTAACATCAATCTAACTTTTTCATCGATATTCATTATCGAATCAGCCAAAATGCTGCTGGACTTTTTCTGGTTTGCTCAATGCAAAAAAGAAAGATAGGCGCCTCAACGTTCAACCAAAACTCCCCCAAAGATCGAAGATGAAGGAAAAGGGCGAAACAAGAACAGAAGAAGAAGAAAAGAATAAAGAAAAGAAAAGCAGAAAGATGCCACTAGTTCCCATTTACCTCCAGCAACTACTTGAACCATCTAACGCTTCGCTTCAACCATCACAAATACCCCAATGCTCGGCACGCCGTCCGCTACAACATACACCACATACGGACCAGGCGGTGCAATATTATTATCCGGCGGCATAGTAACCAGGATTGTCTGACTCTTGCTCTGAGGCTGATAGCCGACATAATCAAGGTATAGCATCCGATGGCCCATGTGCAGCGAGTGGGTGACGAACCCACCATGGTAAAGCACTACACGCAGGTCATTGGGTTCGGTATGGAGCTTGAAGCCCACCATGAATGGCTCGCTGTCCACGAGGAGGTGTTTGTTGGGTAATTCAACATCGTATGGTCGAAATTTATCTCTCCCATCTAGGAGGTAGTGAGGTGTGTATATTTCTACTCTGAACTCTGTGGCGAATGCCTGTTCCGCAACGTCGGGATTAGGTACCAAGATTGGCTGTTCCACAGGGTTTGATCCTGCAATCATAACAGTCCCGTCTAACAAAACTAGCGCGACTGAATGGTACATTCGTGCGATTTCTGTCTTTCCTCCGATACTCCATCGGCGACCCAGGGGAGCCTCTGGGTCATAGATCCACGCATCAAGGGACGGGTCTTTTGCGATTCCAAATCCTTGCGCACCACGGTTGCAACCATTGAGCCAGATTAGTTTTCCATCAGGGAGAATCATTCCTTCTACCATAACTCTACCGTCGGGCATCAGCTCCAGTTCCCACTGTGGATCCTTCGATAATGGCTTAATACGCCCACAACTTGGATCGGTTGGACTTGCGATTCCCACAAATGCTCCTCCCCCACATATTATTATCTCATCGTCCCATCCATTTGCGGCTCTCAGAGGGAGAAGGACGCTCCCTCCAGTGTTTGGATAGCTTCGATAATCACCAGGTAAATCTGGCAGTTTCTTAACCGTCTTCTGACCGTGAGCATCGAAAATTTCAGCTGACCGCGCAACAAACACGAAAACGGTGCCGTCCTTTAAAAGGTGGAGGAATGGATACATGTAGTAAGGTTGATTTTCTTCAAGGATAGGAAATAAGACGCTATGGCCAAAGGAAATTCCATCCTTATTGAGTAACTCATATGTCGGGTTGTTATTCGCTATCACGGAAGGATTGAGCCCATTCAGGCTGCCAGACACAACGAAAACTGCTCCGTCGCGAAGGATTTGAGCACTTGCATACCATCTGTTGGTCGAGAGTTTGTTACCCGGCTCATCCCATGATTTTCCATCCCAAGAGTTAGTGTCCAAAGGTCGCGTTAGATATCGAAGTGCGCGGAATCCATCACCAACTGTGGGGTCCATTGGCAACGGAGAATTTCCACCAATGCTAATTAGCCGCCCATCTTCTAGGAATGCCCCACCCGAACAAAAAGCATTTGTCTATATTATGACATTAATTCTGAGAGAATTAAAAAATAAAGACATGACATGGTCTCACCTCATAACGTAGTGGCGCAACCATATTAGTAGACGGGTCGTATTCAGACGAATATGCATACTGGCCGTTGTCCAGTATTAGTTGTGTATAGTTTTCGACCTTGTCTATGAATACAACCCGACCATTGGCTAGAAGTGCAGCAGACATTGCTGGAACCCCGGATTGGCCAACAACTTTAAAAGCTCCGTGTATCGTGTCCGGTGCATGGGTGTTGGGACTAAGAATCTCGAAAAGGTTACCTGACTCACATTCCCCTGACTGACAACCAGGACCACAATGAGATGAGGTGCTCCCACAAAACTTAGAAGAAGCGTCAGCTCGCATTCGAATCATAAATTGTCAGCTAAAAGTGGAACACCTACCCCGTATGCCGAGCAGCACGATCCCCCAGGCCAGTCACCACAAATGGTATCGCCGTTTTCTGGACCGCAAAGGCCATCAATGGTTTCCTTGAGATCTAATTTTGGCTTCTCCTCCTGTTTTTGCCTCAGTGTCATACGATGAACTTTACTGGTCGACAAATTTGATGGATTCATAAGGGTTTGGGGAGCCCCAGGTGAGACCCTGCTATTGGCACCCATAGTAGTATGTTCACTTCACATTGCAAGTTGCTGCAGCAGCAATTGTCAGTTTATCCGGAACTCAAAACTATATAAAAATCACCTTTTTTCGAATTAATATGGCTTTGTTTTAGCCTTGTGCCTACAACAATCAATATTTTCTAGCATGGAATCCTCAGAAATCGTGTCAGATATCGTGTACACTGGACAACTGGGCTAACTCACAACTGCCCCGTGACATTATCAAAATTCTTGTTACCATTGTGCATCAGCATGAATACCGTAACTCTGGGTGTCACAACCTGTTGTATCCACCTTCCTGTGATGCCACCGGATCAAACGCCGTTGACGCAGTGACAGATTCGGTTTCCTGCGTCGCAGAAGTCGATTGTCGAATTGTTGATATCGGAGAATCATCTGAAACATGCCGATTATCATCTTCACATCTGGAATAGAGAGGTTAACAGCCATATTATGGAAAGAAAACCACAGACCTTGCAAGATATGTCAAACTCACATTCCGTGACGTGAGCAGCGCTGGCCACGAAAACATCCCTGGAATGCTGGCAGAATGGGGTCGCAAGCAAGAGGCGGATGCTCGAAAATGATATTTGCGTGAACCGAGCAGACGAGAAGCAGAAGTAATAGAGGTGCCATCTTCGAGGGAGTGGGAGTGGTATACATGTCAGCTCAGGAGATATTGATGGTTTCCAGAATGATAACCAAGGACCAGGGATATATTGGGTTTAAAAAAAAAAAAAAAAAAAAAAAATGAAGCAACCAGAACTAGCGTTTAGACCAAGTATCGAGATAGAGTTATGAAGTTCCCATTGACAGACTGCAATGTCCTGGAAGGCATCTATGGCGAACAGTGTCTTTTTTGGGGGGGGATAATGCCCCGTCGTGTTGGGGTGATAGAGAAGACAGATGAGAGCAACAGCTGAGATTTGCAGCATTAACTTAAAGATTAGACTGTATATGAGATCCCATTCACTTAGCAGTTCTCGCTCACAGACTGTGAAATGTTCGATGTCAACACCGTCGAACGATGCCTCTCCTGCAGCCATCAGAGAGCAGTCGCGTGTCACGGTCATGGCGGCTTAGACAGCAGCCACGACGCAGAAGGTGTTTGCGGTTGAAAAGCAGAGTGAGGGCAAGCAGAGAATAGAGGAACGTCAACATCGTCGATATTTCCAGCGACAGCGACGGCGGAGAGAAGCAAGGTCTGCGTAAATATGCAAACCTGGTATGCATATGCCAAGCCAACATCCGTATGGCAAAGGGAAGAAGAGTCTCAGATATAATAATTTAAATACCCAATGTTTGTAAGGATACTATTACCAACGCCATCTATTGGCTATCGTCCCCTTTCAAGTTTCGGTTTTCTTTGGCTATATACACGGACTTATCCACAAGCTGCATGCCATCTGCACACTTTCTGCTGTGTGCTCCTTACTCTCTGATTCTTCAGGTCCGCTGCTAACTCCTGCCTCTTCGGAGTAACAGGATGGGAAAGCCGCGAGGTGCCTTGGGAGTCTCACGAAAGCGGTAACCATGATGGAAAGCTAGAGAAAGATTGCAAAACATACAGTCATGCATGGACGAGGAGAAACAGCTCAAGATCAAGGTGACCTCATTTAGCGTTTCACAATTGAACCAAGCTGTTTCGAAACCCTGTCCTGGAGTAGGTTTCACACTTCAAAAACAAGCGATAGACGGTTAAGGCTGAGAAAATGTAACTCAGCAAAACTTGGCCAAAGATTGCAGTACAGTATAAGAAGGACAATGCATGTTGTCCTCTAATGCACTAGAATACCATATGGATTCCCCTGTGTCTCAATAAACCTGAGAGTTGAGGAGATATTGAAACGCATTCCTATCACAGCCTCATCCATTATTCGACCACGGTAAGGAAGTCATGCTCTCTAGGTTAGAGAGCCGCAAGTCATTATGAGGTATGAGCAGAGGTTTCTAAGAGTGATATAATCTTGGGTAGGTGAAAGATCCATTTCAGTAAAGCAAATTCATGACATCATTTTCAATAAGATCGCAGGCACAAGGGACAGTATGATCTGTATTGATATATGTCGAATCCCTCCTGAATTCTTGAGGGGTTACAGCAGACATAAAGTTCTTTTTAAGTCACTGCACAACCCAGGGGGCCTAACCTGAGATGTTTCTTGACCTTGAAGCAATTTAATCAATGTGGGAGATCTTGAGTTTCTAGAGTTCATCGAACCACTCTCTTGTACAACTATTAAAGATATAAGGTTCTGTATGTGGATGTGAGATATAGATAACAGAAGACATGATGTCTGCATATCGGTCACGATCCACC